TGATTTGGTGTTTTGAGCAGGTGCTGTTGTTTCTCATGCACACAACACACTCAAAAAGTGGCTCACTACTAAAACCCTGGGAAGGCCACACATCAGTCAGGTTGGGCAACTCTGGGCATGCACACAGACTCATGAAGAGGTCTCTGAGGTTAGGATGTGAATGTTCTTTTTTCCTGAGTCCTTTAGTGACTTTGATGAGAGTTGGATACATGTCGGTCAAGAGGGGCTTGGCAGGAAGTAGTTCTAAAGACAGATCATCATCCCTCCACCCCTCCTGGGCTTTTGGGGCTGATGTAATCCCATACAACACTTGCTTTATAAAAAACAAAAGGGGGAAATGTTAGTAAAATGGCGCAGTCTTGTCTGTGGCACGATTTACATCCGGGACACCATCCTAGGCTCTAGCCCCATTGCCATCGCTGGAAGCCAGGTGACCAGATGGCACAACCACAGGTGTCATCAGCTCCACCCCCACCATACTGAGATTTGCTGCTCCCATTTCCCTGTCTTCCGGCAAAGGTATGACAGGACATGCTTCCTGCATACGTAATCTCTCTTCACATCTCTTTCTCTCCTCCTCCTTCCTCCTCCTCCTCCTCCTCTCTCTCTCTCTCTCTCTCTCTCTCTCTCTCTCAAACCCCTCTCTCTCCTCCTTCTTTGTCCCTTCCCTCTGGCCAGTCAGATTTCCCCCATCAATAAACCCTTTCCCTTAAAAAAATAAAAAGAGAGGGGGTGGGCTTGTTATAGTGAGCCTGTTTCTATTATGTCTTGGCGATGGCTCAAGAAGTTGGGTACCTGCCACTCACACAGAAGACCCATACTAAGATACTAGCTCCTGGCATTGGCCTGGAGTGGCCACAACTGTTATTGGCATTTGGGGAGTGAACTACCAGCAGGTAGATCTAATCTTTGCCTGTTTATCTCTCTGCCTTTGAAATAAAATTTAAAAAGAAATTGTCACCATGTGGCACAGAAATTTCATTCATAAACTTACTTTTCCAGGTTAAAAACTGTAATTTATGCACAACTAACATCATAAGCAAAAAATTTCATGTGTTGTATCAATTAATAGTAATCTTACAGGGCAGTGAGGAGAATTGCATCATTTTTTCAATATTAGGGGATCCAGGATTCAGCTAAATTAAGTAACCTGCCCAAGGTTATGTAACTTGGAAGTGATGAACTTGGACTGGCACCCTGGTCTCAGGACTGACTGAATTCTACTCGGAGTCCTTGTCCTTTTCCTGCCAGGATAAACTCATCAATCTTCTGGCTAGAAAATGGACCATCCAGTTCCCATGTGACAAGAAGACATGATGCAATTCCTTGTACACACAGATGTCCAAAACCTCTTTTTGATAAAGGAAGAATCCATTAACGCTCTTCTAGCAGTCAGGATCATGCAGGAAATGGAAAAGCAAGCCCTGCTGGCGTGTCATGGGCAGCAAGAGGGGATGGATGGATATTGCGGGAACCCAGCAAGCTTGTGCTCAGAATGGAGAAATCCAGGAGATGGCAATTTAGGGGTCAACTTCTGCCAGGTTCATTGTTACCCAAACCACTTTAAAATGCCAGACCTTTCACAGGGGGACCTTAAAAACAATCAGTCTAACCTAAAGGACCATAAATATGGAACTGGAGCTCGTTTTTATTCCTATGTCTCTGAATTTCCATCTGTAGTTTCTTCCTATCTTATTTTTGACCTTGTTCAAGTCACCTATTATGTATTTATTAGTATTTCTTTTAAAGTGTTTATAACTTAGGTGAGATGTTAGCATCTTGATTCTGAGAGTCTACAAAGGGGTGGGTCTATGTATCAAGCCAACTTTGAAAACATCTGCATAATGTCAATAAACCAGGACTTGAATCAGTGTCTGTATGGGATGCTGGCACCTCAGGAAGCGGCTTAACCCGCTACAACACCTGGCCCAATTTCTGTTAGAACTTGGTTTCTACCATTTATAACTGATTGTCCTTGTGATCTCATTAATAAGTTATATCTTATTCAATGGAAGAGTATACAGATGGAAGGAAAGAAGGAAGGGAAGGAAAGAGGGAAGCAGGTGGACAGGAAGGGGAGATGGAAGGAGGAAAGGAAGGGGAAACTCTCTTTGTAATGGGAGGGAGTAACTTCATGATGCACTGTTTAGGGAGAAGCCCTCCGTGTGTTACAATCTGCATTCTTTGTAATGATTCGTTGTGACTCTAGGATACATTATTGAGAGAGAGGAGAGAGAGAGAGAGAGAAACCCGAAGAGTTCAGCATGTTATAATTTGCATTCTTTGTAATTATACCTTGTGATTCTGATACATTGTTTAGGGAGAATCCCTCAATGTGTTACAATTTGCATTCTTTGTAATGATACCTTGTGATTCTATGATATATTGTTTAGGGAGAGAGGCCTCAGTGTGTTTCAGTTTGCATTTATTATTAATACAATGATGCAAACAGTATATGCCATTTTACAAAAGATGATTCTGTCCAGATGGACAGAATCTGCTTCTCCCTCCCTCATAGCAGTCGGCAGGTCTCAGTGTGGCTGACTGACTGAACCCTGTTCACCTTGTGGTAAAATCTTGTTGAAAAGCTAGTTTTAAACAAGCATTTAATATTTCCCTGGGAGAACTGAGTCTCTCCATTAAGAGGTTATTGATCTAACAAAACTAAACCAAGAAATGAGTAAAGGATACAAACATAGAGTTAAAATGAAAAGAAAATACCCTGGAGTCTTAAAGCAATGTAAAGATGTTCTCTTTTAAGATAAATGCAAGTCAAGCTTCTGAGGCCCCTTTTCACCTCTCAGACTGGCAGACTGGAAAGTTTGGATGGATGGAAGAGTGTGTTCATGGAATCGAGAGTGGAAGAGTACATAAGTGTATCAGCATATTTAAAGTCAGGGAATTTAAACCATAGAATTGATTGTACAGATACTGCGAGGCTCAGAAGCTCCCAGGAAACAGCAAGGTCCCTGGAGATTAGCCACTGTGGGGTACCCTGTCATCTCCAGGCCAGAAGACAAAGTGCAAGATGTCGGTATAGTCATGGAGCTGGGCCCACAGGGATCCTGTCTTAGAGGACTTGGAACCACGCAGGAGGAGCGGTGGCTGCCCCAGACAACCCTTCTGTGGCCACTAACCACTCAGAGAGAGAAGAATGACAAATAGCCTGGTTTCTGCTCTCCTTCCAGGCTTCCACTGTCGACAGGGGAATCTGGTCAGTACAGACTGTAGAGAGTCAACCCCCTCCCCTTCCCCTGGTGAGAAAGCAAAGCAGGAAGGGTTAAGAATGGATCTGAAGCCAAACAGGCTTAGGATTCCAGAGAGGTGGTTTGTGTGGGTAAGCAGACCATCGCATATCTTGTGTGAGGTCATGAGGTAGCAGCTCTAGGAAGGACATTGGAGATTATCCAAATTATAAATGCCCGCAGCCTTTGACCTCATGACTCCAATACGAGGGGCTTATTCTTCAGTACACACTTCCACATATGCATAGTGACATATCCAAGCTACTCATCCCAGCAATATTCCTAACGACAGGTTGGAAACTAAGTGAGCACAGCTGGGGCCTGTTACATAAATTATGACATATCCTAGTCAATGGAAAACCATGTAGGTATAAAAGAAAAGCATTCTGGCAATGATACAGAATGACTCCATGACAATATCTCGTCAAGAAAGACCAAAAAAGACCAAGGTTAGAACATTGTGCATAGTTTGTATAACAGATGCTACCATTTTGTATAACAAAAGGTAAAACTGAAAACGTTAAACAAATACATTTATAGACATAGATTTTCTCTAGGAGGGAGAAATGTTTGGAATTCAGCGGCTGGGAGACAAGGGTGGGAAAGAGTCTTGTTAACTGTGTAGCCACATTTTAAGTATGAATGTTGATCAAGCGTAGATTTAAAAGAATTAAAATTGGATGTAAAATAGAAACAAACTTTCTTCTACTTTTCCCAGTTTGTGGATATTAAAATCCCTTTCGGGGAGGAAACAGATTTGTAGAGAAACGAACCCCCTTCCACCTTCCAAATTCCCTTTGGAAAGGTTCTGAGTGTTTGGTGCTGCAGCAAAGGAACCGCCCGCGGCTGCAGCGCACCTTGGCGCCGAGCGCCCTGCACCGACCCGGGGCTGCGGGACTGCGAAAGCGCCAGGGCAGGAGCTCCGCAAACGCCCCGTGCTCACCGAGTGACCACCCTGCTGCCAGGACGGACAGTCTTTCCACGGCGGACTCTGAGGGGCGGACGGGCAGCTGTCTCCGGAGGATTCCGGGCCCTGGGCAATGCAGCCACGGCCTGGATGGGATCCTTTCAAGTCCCAGCGATTCTTCCCGGACCGCAACTCCTGGCAGGAGCTGGACTGCGCTGCTCACCTGCAGCAGGCTCTGGGGTCCTTCTGCCAGCGCGGGCCTCGCCGCCCCGAGGGGCTTTGGGAGACTTGGGCGCGCTTTCCCCTGGACAGCAGCCTTTGCCCGCGCAAAGCCGGCAATTCGTGCTGAACGAGTGAGCGACGCTAGAGCAGTAGATTCATGGGAGAGTGACACGATCGGTACCCAGGGACTGTGCGGCGAGAAGGAGCCACGCGGGCTTCGGCACGACTCCAGGCAGGCCCGGATTCTCGTGGCTCCTCACCCGGCGCTCAGGGAGGGTCCAGGTCTCCGGGGCGCAGAGGCAGGGACAGGAACAGCCTCTGAGGTCGCACCCCGTGGCCCCGGGTCCGCCTCCCCAGCACTGCACTGCGCCGCGGGAGCGCGCAGCCCGGGTCCCGCCCCCTGCCGATGCGCCCCGCCCCTCCCGGCGCGTGTCGCCCCCGCGCCCGGGGAGCCCCGGAGGAGCGGACTGGGTCGGCGCCCCTGGTCCCGGCGCAGGCGCGGTCCTGAGCCGGGCTCTCCGCACGCGCCCCCGCCCCGGGCGCCTCTGATTGGCGGTCGGCGGGGCCAGCAGGTGTCGGCGGCGGCTGCTGCGGCCAGGCTGCCTGCGGCGCGGGCGCCTCCCTCGAAGCCGCTGCCGCCGCCGGCGCCGCCACGCTCCCAGCTCCCGCTGCGGCTGCGGTTCTGGCGCCCGAGCCCCCGCGGCGCTGCAGCCCAGCCTGGGCGCGCAGACCGACCCGCGTGTCGCGCTGCGGCAGGTGCCCTGGGCATCCCGAGACGCAGTGCCTGCTCCCGGCTGGCCACCCCGCGTGAGTACCATCTCCGCTGGCAGCTTTGCGCCGCTCTGTCCCTCTCACTCTGCCGCAACTTCAGGGGTGGGTGTTTGGAGGGGGTCTCCCGCCTCCCCAACCCGCGCATTCCTGATCCTGGATCCCCGGGCGCAGCCAGCCAGTCTGCCTTTGCGGAGCGGCGCGGGAGGCACTTGAACTTGCTCGGGGCTCGTGGCGGAGTCGGAGCCGCGCCTCTCCCCGGCGGACAGGGCGGGAGCTCGCCTCTGCGCTTCCCTCCGGCGCCGGCCACGTAGCGCTCGGGCTGCGGTTCACCGCGCACCGCCTCTGCCGTGGGCGCACCCGCGGCGGGGCCCGCAGCAGCCCGGCGCGGCGGACTGGACTCTGCGGACTCTTGCTTTCTCTCACATGGGGCGAACCAGGGACTCGCTGAAGGTCACCGCCGGTGCGCAGAGTTCGAGTAGGGGTCGAGGGGGGCGCGCTGTTGCGGGGCGCGGCGCGGCGGCGGGGGTGTCCCTTGGCCTTCATCCCTTCCGACTCCTTATCCTCAAAGCTACCGGACTTGGAGGGGTGAGAAGCCGATCCCAGGGGGCTCTGCTGAGGTTTGGGGGTAACTGCGGGGGACCTTCCGGGTGAGCGTGGGGATGCTTCCCTGCACCTGCGGCATTTGGAGCACCGCCCCCGCCCCCACCCCAGCGCGCTTTCCATCACTTAATTCGCTGACATCTCGGCCAGGTGGGGGTATTTGCCAGTGCCTGTCCTTAGATCTATGCTGTTCCTTCTCCTCCGCTCAGAGAAGCCCTGTCCCCGAGGAGAAGTACCCCTAGCGCGCACGCCACTTTGGGCCCAGGGACTTCGCAGGAGAAACAGGGACGCCCAGCCGCGCGGCTGGCTTCGCCAGCAGTGGCTCCCACCTGCTCCTGCTCGAGTCTGGCTTCCTTTCTGCCCGCCCCGCCCCCACCCCTTGATGTGAATTTGTTGATTGATCTGACGTCTTCCCAGCGGAGCGTGGGGGGTCAGTCCCGGGAGCTGTGAGTGCTGTCCAATGGGAATTACGTGCTCCAGAGCCTTTGAGGCGGCCTCTGTGGGGTCGTGGGCTGTTCTCGGCGCCGTGAGTCGCGGACAGGTTCGTCCCTCCCTTTCCTGACCTCGAAACTCCGCGATGAAATGAGCACTCACGTAGCTTTCGAATGACTGATAAGTGTTTTTGAGCCTCAACTTTCTCGTTTATAAAATGGAATATCCCTTGATTTTCAGTCTCCCCCAAGCACCTGGGGTTCAGAGGCTGTGGGAGACGTGAACGCACACTTAGGGTTACAAAGTAGGAGACTGGTCGAGGGATCTGGGGCTGTGGGTGGAAATGGAGGTGATTTAAAGACTCCTTCAGCAACGTCTGGGACCCTATTTGGAGATGCAAAAATCCTCTTGTCAGAGAAATGTAGTTTTGCTAAGACTTTGACAAATACCTTGGTAGGCCTTCCTGCTGGGGTTCCTGGCCTCACCTTGGGCAGCTGTCTGTCCTATTTACTTAACCTCTTTCATCTGTGGGTTGTCTTTGAGCCAGAAGCTGGGTGTGTGGGGCCGGAACCGCAGCTGGGGGTGAGTGGAGGCTGTGTGTGTGTGTGTGGGGGGGCATCAAGGGGTTTCCGTGTGTCTCCGAGGAGATGGCTGGGATTTTCATTGTCGTTTGGGATTCTTTCCTCTGTATGGTGGAGGAGGGGCTCCAGGAGATATATATATATATATATATATATATATATATATATATATATTTTTTTTTTTTTTTTTTTTTTGAGAAAGTGTTCGCCACAGTCAGCAACTTAAACCAGCAAGAGGCTAGACTGTGTGCTGTCTCCCTCCTCCCTGCCTCCAGGGACAGAAAGAAAGGTCATCTGTAGCCTTGGCCTTCACAGCGATTGATTAACATATGCCGGCTAAAAAGCACCTTAGAGAAAATGGGACATCTTCCCGCTTTGCCTTCCAGGTTATGAATTGTGTGTACCCAGCGTCTTGTCTCAAAGGTAAGGAAGAGAGCGATGCTAGAGCAGACCTTGGTGAATTTAACATATGGTGGAGTAAAACCCAGTGATAAAATGTGGTGCAGTTTGATGTGTGCACAAACCAAATGCAATTGTGTAACCAGTGCCGGCTTTGCAAGCTACAGGATTTCCAGTCTCTGTAACCTGTATAGGCTCAATTCCCCCTAGGCGAATCATCTCTCTTAGTTTCCCGAGGCAAGTTTTATTTTTATTACTGTGATTCTGTAGTCTGTTACTTTGTTTCCCAAGCTAAAATGAGACTTTCTGATGATTGCTGCCATCCTTTTTAAATGGATGCAAACCAAGGTAGTTATACTTAAGCCAGGATAGAAAAATACAAGAATTTGGTCTTATGATCTGAGTGGGGAGTGAGTTGGTTGTCACAACTCACAGAGGCATCTTCACACCTTTGGGTCATGTCTAACTCAGAAAAAAAACAGTGCCCAAACTGATATATTGAGGCCAGTTTTTTCCCCCAAAAGCTTTCTCATTGAGTGAATTTAAACAATGTGAACATGAAATCATGTGACATCAAAATAGGAGTGAAGACAACTGTGGCCGCATTCTCACTTGCAACACAACAAAAGGGAAATATTTTAAATATTTTTACATTCCTCAGTGCTAAAAATTGGTGAAGAATTGTTAGAATTTCCGAGGAGAGATTGATGAATTGTTGGTGCTGTTGCCACATGGTGGCGCCACGTTGGCTGGAGAATTGGAAACCTACCACTCTTTCCCAAACCCTCAGAAAGGAATCCCAGAAATAAAATCCAACCTGTTTCCAAAAATGATTCCCAAAGACTGTTTTCCAGTATCTGACAGGAAAGCCCCCCCTCTCTCACTGCCAACTCCCTGGATAGTCATTGATCCTGGCTCATTAGCACAGCTTGGGAATGGGGCAGGAGGGGTGGAGTTGAGACACTTTAGGCTTTCCCTCTGCAATATGGAGCTAAGGTGGCGTGTCCCTGAGGCTATAAGCAGGGACAAGGGGGAGGCTGGCCTAGATGTGTTAAAATCTCCCATCAGAATCCTCCCAAAGGTTTCAGAGGCTATTGGCAGAGCCTTGTCCATGGTGGACATGAAAGTGTATGTAGACCTGGCTGTAGCTATACTGTTGGCCAAGCATCCCACAAGCTGGAGTGAGGTCACCAGGGGGCAGGTAGAAATACTGTGTCCAGGTGTGGAGAGGGCTAAGTGGACCTGTTCAGCATTCCCAGTGTGACTGAGATGCTGTTTAGAATATGGCATTCGTTTGGTGGCTTCTGTGCCTGCTCCCGTTGAGTGTCAAGTGTTTGCCATATGCTGGATGCTACGTAGTCTGCACAGTGGGGAGGTGGCGGCTTTCCCATCTTGCACATAAAGGAACTGAGCTTTGAAAATGAGGCACTCTCTCTGAGTGTACACTGAGCGAGCCAGAGCCAGGATGGAGAGCCACAGTCGCTCAGATAGTTGCCTTAGCTGAGTTACTCAGCAGTGTGGGAAGAGCCTTGTCTTTTGTCCTTCCTGGCACCTAGGCTAGTACTTTGCATGCAGTAGCCACCGAGGTCTAAGTTTGAGATGGCTGGAAACAGAAAATTCTCTGGAAGGTGAGCAGGAAAGCATGCAGCACATGGCAAGAAGCTGAGGCCGAGTCTGTGGAACCTGTGACGTCAGCACTGAGTGTGTGCCCATCAGAACTTGTGGGCTTATTCCGTGTTTAAACTGTCAGGTAATGGAGGCCAGTCTTGAATATTTTTGTGGGTTTTTTTCCCCAAACTTTTTTTTTTTTACATGTGTTGATAACACATGTTGGTGATTATATATTTGGACAATTCATCTTTTTTTTAAAATTTTATTTATTTGAAAGAATTACAGAGAAAGGTAGAGACAGAGAGGTCTTCCATCTGCCGGCTCACTCTCCATCTGCCACGGCCGGAGCTTCCTCCAGGTCTCCCATGTGGGTGCAGGGGTCCAAGGACTTGGGCCATCTTCCACTGCCTTCCAAGGCCATAGCAGAGAGGTGGATCAGAAGAGGAGCAGTCGAGACTTAGAAATGGCTACCATATGGGATGCCAGTGCATCAGGCCAGGGCTTTAACTTGCTGCGCCACAGAGCTGGCCCCTGAACAATTTATCTTAACATAATATTCCTTGTTGTTTTGATATACCTGGGGTTAAACATTCCCCACTGATGGACAGTGAGTTGCCTCTGTCTTGGTATTTTTAAAAATACCATTGACAGTGTCCTTGATAAGATCTCATAGAAAGTACAAGAGTGTGTCGAGGGTTTATATCCCTAGATGATGAATAACTGGGCAGAAGGAATCTGTCACTTTGGCTCATTTTGCGGGTTGCTCTGGAAGCTTCCATGGAGCCCTAATTCCCACGTCTTCAGCCAAGGCTCGTGTTAATCAGATGCTGTAGTTAAGGTGAATCTGACAAACATGGAGGTGTTTCCCTGCCCTTCCACTTGGCATTCCCCCTAGAGATGATTTTTTTTTAAAGATTTATTTATTTATTTGAAAGGCAGAGTTAAAGAGAGGCAGAGATAATAATACAAAAGTTGCACTTTGTAAATTCACATTTATTAAATAAAAAAAAAAAGAGAGGCAGAGGCAGAGAGAGTGATGGAGAGGTCGGCCATCTGTGGGTTCAATCCCCAGATGGCCACAATGGCTGGAGCTGTGCTGATCTGCAGGCAGAAGCCAGGAGCTTCTTCTGGGTCTTTCACATGAGTGCAGGGACCCAAGGACTTGGGCCATCCTCTATTGCTTTCCCAGGCCATAGCAGAGAGCTTGATTCGAAGTGGAGCAGCAGGGTCTCGAACCGTCGCCCATATGGGATGCCGGCATGGTGTAGGCAGCAGCCTAACCCACTATACCATAGCACCAGCCCCAAGATGATCATTTTAATATATTTTGGTATTCCAGTTTTCTTTTCTATGCCTTGCTGGTTTTTATTGGAAAAGTTTTGTTCTTCACATTTAGGTCTTGTCTTATTATTT